GCTTAAGCCACAGGGCCAGGGGGATCCTGGGCACCAGCTCCACCACCACCTGGGATGGGCTGAGCAGGTTGCTACGGGGATCATTGGACAGCCCATCCAGAATTCTCCTCACAGCTCTCTCCACGATGCTGTGGACCTTAGGGTTGCTGAAATCAACAAAAAGGAGAAGAGAAAGCTAAACGATGTGCAATATTCACACATAGAACACTGCCCTCGTCTTTTTCTGCATAGCTCCAGTTGTGTAGATGAATGAAGCAAGCCGTATGCGGGGCAGTACATGGAACTCACATGTCAGCGCCAGCTGGAGAGGTGGGGTTTATGGAGCTGCGGAGCTTGCAGACAGCCTTGTGCTCCATGTCCATCATTTTTAGGGAGGTGTTTACTTCCCAGGTCTGCCGTAGGAAACAGGAAGTCCCATTAGTGTAATTTCACAACAGATATATTATGCTGTGCTAACTAGTTGTTTAAAGGCTAGAAAATAGCTCACTGACTGATAGTCTAAGTCTCTAACTCTCATTCTCTTACCAGCCGAGCGAGTTCGTTCCCCTCCTCCAGGGTTTCCTTCCACACCCTTCAAATAAAACAATAGCAATTCAACTTTCCTGGCTTCCTATTTTTCTGTTGTTTATTTTACCCACACCTCCTGGAGTGCTGCTGGTGACAGAGAATGGCAGTGAAGGTGAGAACTGACGTGGTACTCACCTCTCCCTAAGGGATTTTTTGCCTTGAGACACCAGCCAGTCGCTCATGTGCTCCAAGGTGACATGGGGCGAGACCTGGCCTCGACTCTGGAGCAGCAGATAGTGGACCATGAGCTTCTTCTGCAAGATGAGGTAAGTTGTGAGACCGTGCCACTAAAGACCATGTAATGTGCTTTCAGAAGGGCCTCTCGCAACATTTCACAACTGCTCATGCCTCACAATTTGCAAAAAATATTAGGAACTCTTATGACCATCTTCTCTAAACTGTCTTGAAATAAAAGTATTGTTTTGGGATTTAATCTATCTCTTTTTTTCTGTTGTTCCTGTTTTTGTGAAATTAATATTACCTATTTATTGTAATATGCTTCCTCCCAGCAGGCCTGCAGAGTCTGAAAATAAAGACTGCTTCTACAGAATTCCTTTGAAGATAATTAAAATAATGATGCTTTATTAGGCACATTATGCACAGGCATTTACGGTATGCTAAAAGGTATATCTCCTAAGATTACCTTTGTGGGATCATAAGTGAACTCCGGAAAGCTCCCAACGCTATCCATGGTCAGATGGGGACGAAATGCAGCGCTATAGATATACGGGATGGTCTAGAGATAACAGGAATGACTTAAAGTCGCAAGAATTGAGTTGTAGGCGATTTTTGGTTATGTTTGGCGCAAAATACGTTTACATTCTATTGCCATGGAGAAATTGAATTTGTAGAACCTGTATGAATGCGTTTGCTTCTATGTCTTTATTTCGTGAAAGATTAAGCTCTTTATTTTGTCATAATGTGTGTATGAGGACGTTGGAGCCTGTTCGGATTCATGACACGGTTATCCAGGTGCATGTTGCATAGACCTACTAATCAAACTTTGGCTTACAAGTTAAATGAAATGTGTATATACTGTATATCATTCTTGCTTGTTGTTCTTTATAGTTACTACTATTTCCTATTGTAAGTTGCCTCTCTGTGTTTACTGTGTTGTGTAATACTCTGCAGGTAGCATTATGCCATTAATACAGCCCTTCCTTTGTTAATAGCGTTGTTGCTCTACTTGTGCTATCAGTTATTGTGCATATTCATTACCCCTGTTATCTGCCCATTACAAGACCACTATCATTCCACTACCTTTCCATGTCCATTTCATCCGTGTGTGTCAATAAAGTATCCTTGAATGTAACTCTGAGGTTGCCTTTTTCCCCTCTTACAGGGGGAGGTGATAGCGCAACCTGGTCTCAGAACATTTAGTATTATTCTGTATGTAAATCAGAGACACTCCATTTGGTATGATATGCTATGTTTTGTATGGTATGTATTAATTAGTGAATGTCCATCACCCATTTCGTATAATATGTTCAGAATTACAATTCATATTATACTGTATGTTATGAATTTGCAAAACATACAATATGTTACGAATTTGCAAATCGCATGATAAGAATTCTAGCTAGGTGGCTAACGTTAGCTAGCTGGCTAACATTACCTAGGCTAGGGGTTAGGGTTTAGGGTTAAGGTTAGGGTTAAATTTAGGAGTTAGGTTAAAGGGTTAAGGTTAGGGTTAGAGGAGGGATTAGCTCAAACGGTTTAGGTTAGGGTTAGTTAACATGCTTAGTAGTTGCAAAATTAGCTAAAAATAAGTAAGTAGTTAAAAAGTTAGCTATAGTTAGCTAAAATGCTAAAGTTGGCTGTGATGAGATTCGAACTCGCAACCTTTGGGTTGCTAGACATTGCGTTATATGCCAACCCATCCACACCAACCAACCAACCACGCTACTTTCATTTTTGCCTTAAGTAACCATCTGTCTTATGTAACCATAACAAACATAACATATAATACCAAATTGTAGTGTCTCGGTCCCCGGATTTACATTTATGATGTTACGTCTAGTCTATGAGACCAGGCTGGCTAGCGGGTCACAGATCAGCCCAAATGGAGTCTCTCTCTTTCACTCTTAGGTGTGGTGCTGGCTCTGGCTGCATGTGCCTACGTGCTACTGGGCCTTGTCATCCTGCTGTTGAAGAGGAAGCTCCAGAGAGACCAGGAGTCAGCTGAGGGTGTGGAGCTTGAAAAACACCCAGCCATGGTGCTCTATAAACAGATTAAAACAGACTTGATGAGTTTGGTTGGAGCTGCACTCTGTTAAGAACTTAAGAACCACTCAAGATTCCATCTAAGAGGACCCTGCTGGAGAGTTCCATGGTCGTCTCCATAGTGATTGGTTCGCTGTGGTTCCTATGGTGCGTTTCGAGTTCTTCGGCCCAGCCCTACCCATTTTCTATGGGTGCATCTCAAAAGACATTTGTCTAGTGCAGCACTACTTTTAACAATAACCATCTGCTGGGTTAAAGGTTATTTGTCTCAACAACTGTTGTTTTAAGAAGTTGGTGTTCTTGTTTTCTGCTCTTGTTTTCCAGTATTTCCAATATTATTATTATGATGATTACAACTATTACTGTAATGAACATTAGTCACCACTTGGTGACAGCACAGAGCTGATGTGGTCATGTCTGTCATAATATTTGATCAAAAAGAGCCTCACGCCTTTATTTGGCCAAAGAATAATTGTTACATGAGACATTCAGAATGTGCCTGGTGTCCTTTTTCATGTTTGCATGCATGTATCTTTCCTCAGTTCTTGTTTCAAGAACTAAGTATGAACGCCATATTGTTAGCACATCACAACTTTGATAGACTCATAAAATTATATAATACATGTATTTTCTCTCTTTGCTCTGTCATCGTTGTCTCTCCACCTCCCACTCGTTCACACCCCAGACTCCTTCATCACCTCTTTCTCTCCTTATCCAATCTCCTTAACCCACCCTTTCACTCTCTTTCAATTCACCAGATCATCAGTAACACTCTCAACAGTCTCATGTTCATCCATTAGGCATTAGAAACATCTCACAATAACCATGATGCATTATCTTAAAATAAAACATATGTAATGTAAAATTGTCTGAGAGAGAAATCATATTATCTCATGGAACTTTAGAATTATATAAATATAAGGACATCATGGTAGAACTCTGACAGTTTTGGGTCAAACGCTTCCATAAATGGGGTGTGTGTGGTTGAGGATCACTGGGGAGACTTGGGGAGAATCCTGCATCCAGCAGGCCTAGCTAAACCACAGGTGGGCGTCAGTCACTTCTCCCCTAACTCAGGACTGTGGGTAAAACTCTACACCTAACTAGGAGCCTGTCTCTGTCTGTCTCTGTCTGCAGACACCCTATGGGGCATGTCGGTGGTGGTGTAGGCAGAGTCTCTGAGGAGAGGACTCTGAGTAATCAGAGTCTGAGCGCAAACAACCTCAGAGCCAGTCATGATAGCAACTTCCATAGAGTTTGACTTGAACTATACTGAACAAAAAAATTAACTCAACATGCAACAATTTCAACGGTTTTACTGAGTTACAGTTCATATAAGGAAATCAGTCAATTAAATTAATTCAATAGGCCCTAATCTATGGATTTCACATGACTGGGCAGGGGCGCAGCCATGGGTGGGCATAGGCCCACCCACTTGGGAGCCAGGCCCACACACTGGGTAGCCAGGCCCAGCCAATCAGAATGAGTTTTTCCCCACAAAAGGGCATTATTACAGACAGAAATACTCTTCAGTTTCATCAGCTGTCCCGGTGGCTGGTCTCAGATGATCCCACAGGTGAAGAAGCCAGATGTGGAGGTCCTTGGCTGGAGTGGTTACACATGGTCTGCGGTTGTGAGGCCAGTTGGACGTACTGTCAAATTCTTTAAAATTACGTTGGAGGAGGTTTATGGTAGAGAAATTAACATTCAATTCTCTGGCAACAGCTCTGGTGGACATTCCTGCAGTCAGCATGCCAAATGCACATCTGTGGCATTATTTTGTGTGACAAAACTGCATATTTTAGAGTGGCTTTTTATTGTCCTCAGCACAAGGTGCACCTGTGTAATTATAATGCTGTTTAATCAGCTTCTTGATATGCCACACCTGTCAGGTGGATGGATTATCTTGGCAAAGGAGAAATGCTAACAAGGATGTAAACAAATTTGTGCACAAAAAACTTGAGAGAAGTACGTTTTTTGTGCGTATGGAACATTTCTGGGAACTTTTATTTCAGCTCATGGAACATTGGACCAACACTTCACATGTTGCGTTTATATTTTTGTTCAGCATAGTTACTGTGGAATTCCCTTTTTCCTGCTACCTTCATTTCACCTCTTAAATCATTTCCCTCTCACCAGATGAGTGGGTTGTGGAGCGTGTAGACTAGGTACTGGAGACCAGGTAGTGGGATGGAGGAGAAGTGGGTGACATGATGAGGTATTGATAGGACATACTAATTCTTAGAGAAATCTCCATACACTCACCAGTAACTAAATTTGAAAATGAACTGGGGGTGAAACCTAGTTCCTGAACCCATTATCCGCAATATTGTAGATGGTATCTCCTTTATCCGCAATATTGTAGTTGTTATCCCATCATTTTGCCAAGAGGTTACCTCCATTATTGGAGGTACCTACAAACTAACTTTGTGCGCTAAGAACTTAATGCAATATTTTGATGTAAAATTAATGTGTGGTTTCTGCCCCGGCTGTGTTGTCTCCCCCAGTGTGAGTTTACAGCAGACCAGTCCAACCACAGCCGCCGATGACGCTGATGATGAGAATGACGAAGATGATGATGTATGTGTGGAGTAGGTGACTCTTGCTGTGGATTCGAGTTTCTTTAAGTGAACCTCATCCCTGATAATGGAAACGCAGGACTATATTTGGAGGGGGTGATGTCACAAGTGGTTGACGGTGAAGCCTATATCTGTGTGAGCGTGTGTGTATGTGTGACAGTCTTAGAAACCACTGTCAGTAGCCGTGTCTGTCTTTGGAACCACTGGCAATTGGGTTTAACTACTGAGGGTGAGTTAACCAGACCATTAGGATGCATATTTGAACTGAGAGAGTTGGAGACCAGGACACCTTACATTATACTATCCCAAGTCTTTTTCTCTCTTTTCCCTGTGGAGTTGAGGGTAGGCTATTGTGTGGCTTGTCTTTTTGGTGGTCTTTGGTTTGCATGGTTCTCTAGACTACAGAACTTGTACTGTTTCTGCTGTCGTTCTATTCTAAAGTGTTCTAGTAGCATACACTGAACATATTTGATGGGTGTAGGTTACAGTATTCACAGGCATGTGCATCCCTCTACTCCTGTAATTCGATGGCATGTGTGATTATTGACTGTCCATCTTTTATTTTCATGCAGGGATCCTGCGTGCACGATGTATCACCTGAAGCTGCCCGTGTTCCTTCTGGTGCCTCTCGTGCTGCTGCGCTGTGTCGCCACCGCCCCTAGCAACAGGTGAGAGCGAAAAGCTGCCTCAGTTATTTCCGTTATTTCTGAGTGCCACTTCTGTGATGTACAATTACAAGTGTCGTGCAGTGTCGTCCAAAGTTAAATAGTCACTAGGAAGCGGGTTTAATTTCGCAGGTGAATTAATCACTCAACTGATATAGCACCGGTTTTAAGCTGTGCGTAATTTGGATCATCCATCTTGAACCGTAAGAAATCAATTAACGACGTGGGTAGTCTAACTCTAATATCGGCTAATGACATTGATGAGATCATTGAGATGAATATCCATTGCAATCGTGACATCCGAGAGGTCGGGTTTTGTCTTGCCAAGGCAGAGACAGGAATATGTGGATCGCGTAAAAGTGATCAAGTGGGCACTGGAGGGGGACTAGTGGCCACTCCATTGCGCCCTCGAGAATTGAGCTGATGTTTTGAAGTGGGCATCAGTCACCGGTCGGAGTGACGGTTTGGCTCTTTTCTCATTTTGATTCAGGTACTTCACCTCATCTAGCGAGCAGGAAAGCGCGCTCCTGGACAGAGAAGGCTGGCTCGTGCCCGGGATCGTCTCCAACCCCTTCCTCGGCCTCATTGGCGCGCGGCTGCAGAGAGGGCTCACATCTGTCAACAGGTAAGGTTGCACCTTATTATATAAGTTGCACCTCTTTTATTGATTTGTTGATTGAGTGCAAATGTTGATAATTTTGTGGACAAAACACTGTACATTTTTTTATAATAATCTACTCCTTATTGTTTAGTAAATGGGTCCACAGCCTTTATTTAATTTATTCAACTCGTCAGTCAAAATATGCTGAAATATTATCTGAACTGAACATTTATAGTTGGCCCAAATATTAGCTCCAACTTAAGAAAAATCTAGGTTAGGGACACCCACACATTCAAATAGTGCTTTTAACATACAATGTTTTCAACCTACATATTTGACACACATTTACATAAACATGATTATATTGTGCATGTTCATACAGTAATTATTATTCAACATGTCCTCACCTGGGATTTGAACTCACAACCTCTTGGTTCACGGCATTCCTATCTTCCTGCTACACCACCATGTATAAATGAACATTCACAATGCCATCATGTATGTCAACATGTATGAAATACGTATATAGGTTAAAAACACTGTATGTTAAAAGCACTGTGTGGGTGTCCCTAACCACATTTTTACCTACATTTTCTCAAGTTGGAGCTCAGTTTGGGTAAACAAAAAAATGTAAGTTCAGCTAACACTTTGACTGAAAGTTGAGTAAACAAAACAAAAGTATGTGGAACCAGTAACTAAATTATTATTTTTTACAGTGAAGATTCATGTGGATCAGAATTTGTGGGAGGAACAATCACCTAATATTTCAATTGATAGTGATAAGAATATTATAAATCAAATTAAATAATAGTGATCTTAATAATAATACTAGTTTATTGCTATTACTATTATTGTTACTAGTAGCTGCAGTAGGGATATTATCATATTAGTATCATATAGTAGGCTATTGTTATGGTGGCTATTTTTATCTACTTACCTACAGTATGTCTGGTAGGCCAATAACTTTGCTGCATTTTCCTGATCTATACCACTCTATAAATGTTTAGATAAGTAATGCAAAATTTGTTTGAGATATTGGATTAATTGATTGCCATACTCCTATATCCCATTAGCCACCACATAGAGAAAAGGAAGTGCAACACGGCTACCTGTGTGACGCAGCGACTGGCCGACTTCCTGACCCGCTCCAGCAACACCATCGGCACTGTGTACGCCCCCACCAACGTAGGCTCCAGCACCTACGGGAAACGGGATCTACTGCAGCCTCCCAGCTATCTGCCTCTCTAGTGATGCATGGGTTCAAGCCCACTGATGTAGGATATGCTCAGCTGAAATGACCACACCACCATGTAAAGGCCAATGTGTACTTCTCAAAACAACAATGATGGTTATGTATCATTAACTTTAGTTTTTGGTTATTTTATAAACTTCAGAAAAAAACAGTGCCTTTTGGTATAGAATAATAATAAAGAAGGATTTGTTACACAAATCCGACTAGAGGCTGAGATACTAGTCTCTGTTCTGTGAGCCTAACTGGTTCAACTCAACACTAACCCCACAATGGCATGTGAATAAAATGTAATGTAAAAAAACAAACAAAAAAAAACAAGTAGGGCATATAAAATACAAGTTTTGTCCTTCTGTTTGTCTGTTGTGTTGGTTATTTGTTTTTTGTAATAAAGTTGAAAGATTTTTGAAAGACGTTGGTTTCACTGCACATCATTAATAGTTTCAGTCATGCAGATACAATGTTGAGTTATTTTATATCTTAAATAAAGCATTAACTTATCATGAACAAACTATTATGCTTATGAATACTTAGGGCGGCAGGTAGCTTAGTGGTTAAGAGCGTTGTGCCAGTAACCGAAAGGTTGCTGGTTCTAATCCCCGAGGCGACTAGGTGAAAAATCTGTCGATGTGCCCTTGAGCAAGGCACTTAACCCTAATTGCTCCTGTAAGTCGCTCTGGATAAGAGCGTCTGCTAAATGACTAAAATGTAAATGTAAATGTAAATACTTATAAATGAAAGGCAACATGTAGACTCAATGAGGCATACATATTATACACACAGGCATACAGTATAATACATGAGTTACTCAACAGATATATGTAATTTCAGGTATTGGAGGGGGAAGGTGTGACGCACTACATTAACCTGTGTTTGAAAAAATAGCACAGAGGTTAATTTAGCTGATGATGCCATACACAGACCAGCCATTAAGCCCCCAAACATGGCTGACACTGTGTGATAGGGGTCAGAGGTGTGTCAAACTCTTTATATGAATAACACGCATATAGCCTACCTCTAGGATAATGTACATCAAGAGTAGTCAATTAGACAGGGGTAATTCACATTGACGGAGATGTTGTTGATGCATTGCAATACTGATTGCTGATGAGAGTTGTCTATCTGTGACAATACCACAGATGACACTTTGAACTACTCCATTATACTCTCTCTCTCTCTCTCTCTCTCATACCATCCAGCCATCCAGCCAGCCAGCTCGGCAGTCAGGCAGGCTGCCATCTCTCATACCACATCACCATATTCCTTCCATTTAGAGATCATTGCTTGCTGCTAACAGCAAGTTGGACATGTCTTTTAACAGCACTCCAGAATAAAAAAAATAGGCCCTTCCAAACAGCTCATACATTTTTTATAAATATATCAATATCACGGCAGGGAGGGACAGAGTATGTATGAGTGAAATAACCAATTCAGTGCGGCTATAGCACCTCCAGGCACCACAGGTTGAGCATTCGTTTGTCAAATATAACCATGTGTCTGCATGATTAAACAGTATAGAGATGCCAAGTGCAACCTTTGCTTTTCAGGCCATCTTTGTTAGTTTGCCTCAATGGCCATTTACAGTTTTTCTCGATTGCTAAGACATTTCTTGAAAGCTGCTCTCCTTTTCTCTTAACTGTGAACACAAAACCCAATTTTCAAGCTACATTCACAAAACCTCAGACTCTTCTTGCAAAACCAAACTTTCACCTCAAAACCGTTCAATCTGTGCTCAAAACTGAACTATGTTGTCAAATCGTGCCCCGAGTCAATCAAAATTAAAAACACTACTGAACAGTCACTAAACACTACGTAGAAAAATAGAAAACACAATGCTCAGGACATGAAGCTGGAGAAATAAATGTTTATTGTTCACTGTAGGCTAAATGCATGTTGCAAAACAAAAAAAAACTGTGCATTTAGCACTTGTACAAAAAGACAAAACAGAAATCTTGTGCATTTACATGTAGCACTTGTAAAAACAAACAGAAATCTTATGCGTTTGCCACTTGTGTACAGTAAGCCCATGTAAAAATAAAGTACAAAAATATACAAATAAGTGCATTACTCAGCCACAGCATCATGTCTCCGTACTGGGTCAGGCCACAGGACTTCATCCACATCACAGGCCACATTTTGTCTGGCCAGGCAACGGGGGAAAAAACCCCTGGCATGCCGTATCCAGGCTTGGCATGCCTCCACACCTATGTCACCACAGGCAAGTCCCATGGCTTGCAGGAGATTTACCCTGGTGTAAGGTTGGCGTTCATATACCTTCCACCGCCATGAGGAGAAGAATTCCTCAATGGGGTTTAGGAAAGGGGAGTACGGTGGAAGGCAAAGATTGATAAAACCTTGGTTCATATTGTACCACTCTCTAACCTGGAGGGCTCTGTGAAAACTCACATTGTCCCAAACAACAACATAGATGGGATGCTCATCCTGCTGCCCTAACAAAGCATCTCGCATGTGATTGAGGAAAATGAGGAGCTGGTGAGTGTTGTAGGGCCCCAGGTTGGCATGATGGTGGACAACCCCATGATTGCTGATGGCAGCACATAATGTGACATTGCCACCACGCTGCCCAGGAACACCAACAATGGCCCGATGGCCAATCACATTACGGCCTCTCCTTCTCCTTTTGGTGAGATTAAACCCAGCTTCATCCATGTAGATGTATTGATGGGGTCTTTCCATTGCATCCAGTTGAAAAACCCTCTGTAGAAATAGATATAGTTTTGTAAGTGATACGGAAAAAGTGATTTAGGCCACTACAGTAAATCACTACTTAGAGTAATCAACATTGAATGTGTCTGGATATATGCCAACCTGTACATACTGGAATCTTTGCTCTTTGACTCTGTCTGAGTTGCGATCAAAGGGCACTCTGTATAGCTGTTTCATGCGCAGTCTGTTGCGCTTGAGGACACGATCAACAGTAGAGAGGCTGACACTGTTGATACCCTCAAAATTTAAATGGTCCTCAATGATCTTCTGCTGAATTTCGCTCAGTTTAATGGCATTGTTCTCACGGACCATATCAACAATTAGGGTCTCTTGGTGTGGGGAGAACATACCTGTCCTCCCACCCCCATGTGGCAGTCTTTCAATTCTACAAAAAGAGAACATGGAGTTACAAAAAATATACATGGAATACTAGGCCTACAAACAGTTAGACCAACCCTCCATTACAATACTACAGTACATTGGTACAGTGATGTACTGAAACATATATTTACTTACAGTATACTGTGGTACAGTATATAGTATGTCATACAGTAATTGCTGTCAACATTTACATACTGTACTATAATGTCAAAAAAAGGTAATTACCTGTTCTCTTCTCTAAATCTTCGGATTATGGTGGACACAGTGAATCTACTGATGTTTGGTTGTACCCTTTGTCCAGCCTCCCTCATGCTCATACCATGGACAAGAACATGGTCAATCACAGTAGCTCTGATTTCATCAGATATTACTGTTCTTTGTCTTCGCTGACCACCTCGACCACCTCGACCTCCTCTCACACAAACTCTTCCTCTCAGATTTCTATCCATTGTAGGGCCTCACAAACCAGTGCTCTCTGAACTGGCTTACTGTATATGTTCCCTCACATCATTAGCCACAAGTGTGATCAATTTTGAGTTGTTGTGTTCAAGTGGTGACACCTGTGCTCTAATTGTGTTTGACTTTTGTCACCTGTGCTCACCATTATGCAGCACGGGTGCATCACAATGAAAATGTGTTGGCAAGTTATGTCTAAACAGGTGAAAAGTGCTTATGGTTTTGCCAAAAGAGTGATTGATTCAATCAGTGGGTTCAGGCAACTGAGCATTTGGTTCAGACAATAGGGTTTAGTGTTTTAGCAATTGAGAAAAACTGTAATATACAATTCAAGTTGAGAATTGCCATTGACCGAGAACTATTACCTTGAAAGACTTTTGGATATGTTGTATTATTATATTGAAACAGAAAGCTCTGTTTCAGAAGTGCACTGCAGACCTTATAAGCATTGCATCACATAGACATGTTTTTTAAGGGTTCGTAATAAAATGAAAACATCAAGGCCTTCAACCTTGTAAACAATACAGATATTGATTTATGATTTTTATTCAGATCCCCATTAGCTGTTGAAGAAGTAGCAGCTATTCTTCCTGGGGTCCACACAAAACATAGAACATGAAAAAATACAGAACACTAATGGACAGGAACAGCAACACAAATTTAAACTAAGAACACTACGACTAAAGAACAATACGACTATTAAAAAATAAAAAATAAAATAATAAATAGTACTAAGAATAATGTGTGTGTGTGTGTGTGTGTGTGTGTGTGTGTGTGTGTGTGTGTGTGTGTGTGTGTGTGCGTGCGTGCGTGTGACTCTTCACAGTCCTCGTTGTGTCTTGAGGTGTTGTTTTATCAGTTTTTAAAACAGATGTTATTGCTTGCCTGAGTTACCTGCGGTGAAAAAGAGAATTACATTGCTCTATACAGTACTGTGCATCTCCCAGCCTCTGTTCTGGACTTGGGGACTGTGAAGAGGCCAATGATTGCATGTCTTATATGGTATATATTGGTTTTTGAGCTGTGTGTTAACTGGCTGAACAGACAATTCAGTACTTTCAGCACGTCAATACTTCTTACAAAGACCAATATTGAGTGATGCAGTCAATCTCTCCTCCACTCTGAACCAGAAGAGACTGTCATGCATGTTATTGACATTGGACTCTGTTCTGGTCCAGCTGCAACTTTTCTAGGTCCTTTTTTGCCCCACCTGCCCATAAAACTGGGCAATAGTCAAGATGCGACAAAATCAGAGCTTACAGGACTTAGTTGCATGTGATGTTAAAAAAGCAGAGCATCTCTTCATCACAGACACACCTCTCCCCATCTTTACAACAATATAATCAATATTCCTTGACCATGACAGTTTACAATCTAAGGTAACACCAATAAGTTTAGTCTCTTCTACTTGCTCTACAGCAACATTATTCATAAC